ATCATTTACCCAGAATGCTTTGCGTGTAAATAAAATGGCTCAGTCCGTGTAACATATTTTGAAAATTTTTGTTTAAAAATGATAAAAACTAAACATCCTACAGTGTTTTTACGGTCTTTATTTTACAGTTTAAATATATGTTTATCAAATAAAGTCTAATGTTACAACTAATCGTGGATCCCTCTCATCAATACAGTCCAGATAACCTTAACTCCAGAGCAGACTCTGATGTTTGAAAGCAGTTCTAATCTTCAACATTTCAAAGCGGTCCACACCAACACACAGGAACTCAGGAAGTTCCTGCCAAACGTGACCTCCAGGATGCAATGAAAGTGCTTCGTCTAGCTGTTGCCCTTGTTAATAACCAAACATTTCTAAGAAAATAACTGAAAGCAATACAATAAAGTTTTATTGGAGACTTTTAAGACGGCAAGCTCATCTGTCCTGTCAGAATTTAACAATTTTTTTAGCTATCTACAACAGGTTCAAATAATAATACATTTAATTATAACTTTTCCACACTTCAAAATGATCAAACTATCCCTTTCAAAGGCCTTCTGCTCTTTGTGCTGTCAGTCTCAATGAGTCTTTTAAAGAGTCAACCTGTGCGCCTGGTCAAAGTGTTGTTATTGTCTGGTAACCAGGGAGCAGTTGGCGGGGGTCACAGGAAATAAAGAGACAGGAAACTGGTGTCACGGTCACAGTCGTCCATCACGCTCTGACAACATCCCTCCTGAGCCTAATCCTCCCTTTGACCACAGCGTTGAAGAAAAGGACAATACCACCCCGGGTGTTTATAATCTTATTCCGCCACACTGACTCCACTGCCTGTGGGGAGGATGACTAATATTCTGCAGCGTATTGTAACTGGGCTGAGCTTTGAACAAGTGAAAAATACAAACACTCAAGCATCAAAGCGACAGGAAGTAATTAGTTCCAAGTTGCTCCGTTTAGTCTACAAGTGCCCCAGCTTGTTTATTTAAATTCAGCTAAATCAGATATATGGCATTTAATTTGTTAAAATAGCATGTTGAATTTATTAGAATTATTTATAGATAGTATAAATTCGATGATTCTCAATCATTTTGGCTTTTCTAGCAGCAAGGGACATGGAGCAGACAAAAATATGAAGTGTACTGTATTTACACAATGAGAAAAGGAGGTAAAGGGATAAAGGGGTTCAGCTAACCTCAGCAGATTAGAAAACTTTAAATCTGAGAAAAATGTTGGAACTTTATTTCTTGCATTTCTAGTGACAACATTTACCACTTGGAAAGGAATGAAATCAGACACATGCTACTTTTAAATCCTTCTTTTTCACATTTAAATTCCTCAGTCGGGGAACTGCAAAGCTGAATTCTTCCTTATTGTAACTCCACAAGCCCCGCCTCTTTTCTGAGGCGTGTCTCAGATCAACTCAATTTGAGGCTATCTCTTTAAATCCAAATGAAGCTCCGCCCTTCTCCAGCTTTCAGATCTGTTCATTCTAGTTTGATAGAGGGGTTTACGACTATATACGTAGCAGCGCAGGATATATAT